TCTTTCACATCCTCTTCAAGTCATCTGAAGAGTCCTGGCCTGCACATTCTTTCTCAGAGCATACAGACCAACAGTGAATTATTTTTAAAATCCTTTTGAATACAAAAAGAGAGACACACACCTGATACTAACCCCTCTGGCAATACTAGGCATGAATATTTTGCTGCATGCCCCTACAACATGTCTCAAATGAAGGACAAGTGACCTAGATCTGCTTCTCAGTGTTTTCTGGGAAGATGGATGCTTGCATTTAGCTGGCTCATTTTCAGAGCTCTTCTGTGCCAGGAGGCAATCTTGGACCTGTAGAAGGCAGGACTCAGCAAACCATCCCCTTGGCTACAGCAGATTCCTTTTTACAGCCGTCCGTGGGTGATGGCTGCCTAACACTACAAAATGTGTACATCTGTAACACTGTGCCTCTGCAAAGCGCTGTGTTAATATGAGTGAATGAAAACAGCTTGCACTCAAGTAAGCTGAAGCAGTCATTCACAGCAAAGAGATCCTTGGGGAAGGTTTCTTTGCGTGATAAGGGGAATTTCCTACTCATCTGTTTATCTGGAGCAAACACTCCTAGAGTAATGTCACCCACAGAGGGTTAGACTCATTCTCCTCTTTGCCAGGCTGTCCCTACCTATGTCCAGTTAATACCCATCTTATTCTTCAGCACTGTCCTTCGACTGCACTCCTTGCTCTTTGTCTCCCTCGCTCTTCTCCTTTGACAGAGCTCCTTTGCCTTTGTTAATGCCTTTGCCAGCAATGTCCCAACCTCATTGCTGCCCTTGTTTGAACTTAGACAAGCTCATCTGGCCCAAACAGGCTCTCTGCTCCTTAGCGTCCTACTAGCCCAGACTTGGCCCCAGCTCAGACCGTGACCCCAGGTGACCAGGGTCACTATTTCATAAGAAGCCACAAAAATGCCTTTTAGGGCACTATTCATCCTTCCTTGTCTCTGTGGAAACTGTCTTCTCTCCCCACTCCAGCTAACAGCCCCTTCACCCTTTCCATGGCCACCCAGCACTGACCTTCACTTTCCTCTTGTGGTCCGTAGTCCTCACAGTTCCTACTCTGTTGTCCTTCACTGAGGAGCAGCTAGCAGAGGACACAGAGGCCAGGCAACTGGGCTTGTAGTGACTCAGATCCCACCTCCCCCTGTTCCCATGCTCAAAACCCTTATGTTTTCAAAAGCCTCAGACCTGACACCTTGGCTCACTCTGACTTGACACCAAGACTATTACAATTTCCTTCCTGCCTTGGTCATCTCCATCTATAGAACCTCTCAGCTGTCCTGCCTGGCTCTCGCATTCAGTATTGTCATGACATTGCAGGCTAATTTTTTTTTTTCAAGTCTGGGACCTTCCTTTAAACCATCTACACACAAAGTGGTGTGGCTTCATTCTCTTTTCTTATGTAAACCCCATACAGGTACATTTCTGCTCCACCCCACTGGGAACCACCCTTGCCTCCCAGAATAACCGTACACTAAAACAGAGTCCCCAGACTGGGTTTTCCAGATACGTAGCTCATTTTATTCCTTAATTAATGCAGCTGCTTTAATCAAGCCCATTCCATGAAAAACTTCCTGCATCTATGCAGGAAAACAGTGGAGCTTGTGCATGCCCAAGTCCTCTTTCATCCCAACCTCCCAAAGCTGCTGATTTCAGAATCCAGTTGCCCTGGGACCCTTCTAGGCAGCAGAGGTGGCAAGCACGTGCAGAGGTGATTTTGCCAACCTCTCTCTGTGCTCAAGAGGTTTCTCTCTCACTCACCATTTGCTATAGGGGACTCTGGAGGCATATGGGCTCCTAACATGGTAGCTCAGTTAAGACCGTGAAGTCAGGTAGGACAATTTTGTTCATGTTACTGAAAACCACTTCTGATTTTATTGCATCTGTTGAGATACCTGTTGCAATGGGGGCTGAGTGGGGAAGGGAACAGTATTTCTTTCAAAGTGTGCCACACTCAGGATGCAAACCTGAGGTTAAGCCAGGCTGCCTTTGGACGTCTGCACCCAGCAAGACCTCTGCTCCAACTGAAAAAGAACATTCCTCAAGGAAGATTTTCATGGTAATATTCCGAGCCACCCAGATAAACAACTTACACAGGTAAAACGTTAGCAAGTGCCAGCAGATGCAGGATTTACACCACTAAAATCAGCCAGGTTCAGGTTTAATTAGAACAGCAACTAGCCTTCTGGCTAGATCGCAAAGTGAAGTGGTGCTGCTTGTGTGTTAATTTTCACTGACTTCTTTGGCAAGTTTGCTGTCTCATTACGTGATCTTTCTAAAAACCGTGATTACAGTTGATAAGCTGCAGGAACGTTTTATTACCTTCAACTTTCTCAACCCTGTTGAGCACAATGATTCAGCACATGCCAAGTTTAAAGCCTGTGAAGTCCCACAGCAAGAATATTTACAGCCTCAAATTAAGTGTGAGCCTGAGTGCTCTGCTAAACCAGGACCAGAATGGCCAGCAATTTGCAGGTAAAACCCTACGGCAAAGCCTGAGAAAAATTCAGTTTGCAATAAGGCAAAAGCCACCTGAGCTGAGAGAATCAACTATTCCCTTGAAATAATCAGAGGGATATTCAGGGCTGCACCCTCTGTTCCTTGCCTGAGCCACAGCCCACCACTCTGCAAACATGTCCCAGAGGCACAGGCAGCGGTCCTTGACAGAGTCCAACCAGGCAAAGTTAAAGTACAGGTTCCCAGTGTGTCCTTCCCCAAAAAAACAGTTACCAGAATGAGAATGGGACTCTGCATCTCCATCCCAGACCCGTGACCCACATCAGCAAAGTTACACCTCAAAGCAACAAGCTGCAAGAAAGACACGGGAGCCAGAATTGCATCGTCTGGTGGCATAACCATCTCTACCAATTTAGGTAATGATGGTTTGTAATTGCAACCAATAAAAAAGCAAGTGAAAAAAAAAATTTATCAGGCTGTAGTTAGTTATATGTCCAACCTGCAGCTTTATTGCACATACCGCCCTCTCCCTGTCCAGCTCTGTAGACCCCTCAACTAACCCTCCTTCTCATAGAGCTGCACCAAGGGCTCTCAGCTGCCTACACTGAGCCACTCCAAGGGTTGGGCTGGGACTCCACGAGGTAGGTGAGGTGGATAATTCATCCACTGTTTCAGCTCCTCCACATCCTTCCAGCTTCTGGTCTGGATACATCCCCTGGCTTCTTATCCTGTGGACTGGAATATTGTCTAGAACCTGATGACCCTTCAGCTTTACCATTCATGCTGCAAAAGCCCCTTGTCATCCTGCCATCTCAAAGACAATGCGCCAACTCTGGGGGTCTCACTAGTGCAAAGCAATCCTTGGAGACTCACCGCTCTCCGTGCACAGGGCTATGATGAGCACGACAAGAAGAGAAGTCTTCATCCTTTATAGGTCTCGCAGCCTCCAAAACAAGCAGGACTCACCCAGGGCAGGTTTTATACCTCTGCAGTGTTTGCTTTGATGCTAGGATAATAACTACAGGGTTGCTGTGTCAGATGGTGGATAATTGAGAGTAACGTGTCAGTGCTTGTATGTGGAAGTATGCTTTGTTGGAAATCTAAACAGGCGTATGTTCTCCCCCCGCTCATTCTTTTCCTAGTTGTTTCACAATGCAGCTTGTTCATCTGGTGTTAAGTATGCAACAGTTTCTAATTCTGGAAGTGGAGGAAAAGCAAAACATGAGAACAGAGCGGTGTCCACATGAGAAGAGGAATGTTTTCTTTTCCAGGTCAGCTTGGGTCTCAGAGCAGGCTGCATCCTTAAAGACCCTATCCTCGCACGCAGTTTTAGTGCATATGGAAATTGATTGAATTTAAAATTGAAATTGGGATTGAAACTTCTGTAAAATGTCTCCCAGGATTGTCAATACAGCTAGATCAGAAGAGCAGTATCTTTCCACTGCAGTTCATAGGGGACCAGACATCATTTTCTGCAGGCCTTTTTTAAGACAGCAGTTCAAAATCATAAATATTTCTGTTAAAAAACCCAGACATTTTATAAGAGGGAAAATGTTATCTTATTAGAAAATAAATTCCACTGGGCAATGAAAATGACCACTTCAATTAAAAAATAGAAATAATATCCACTCCCATCACATTGAACAAACTGTGATTTTTTTTCACAAATTACAAAAAATAAATGTCAAGGAGGAAAAAACAAAACAGTTAAAGCATGGAGAATGAGGACTTGCCTGATCAAGGATTTCAACTCATTAAGTCTTCAGAAAAAAAAAAAATTATTACCAGCCAAAATTATGTGAAATGCCAATAGGAGTACTCCACTGGATTTCCATATGGTGTTCTTTATTCCTCCTTTTTTATCATATTTCATCCTATTTCCCTGTATAAAATCTGAATCTTTCCCATCTTCTTCTGATTGCTGTTGATTTTAACCTCCACAGTTGTCTTTCTGCCATCTAGTCATGTGGATGGAGGCACCGCCCCAGAAATGGTCCAGCTGGATCCTTTTCATATAACACTCAGAGCTGCAGGAGTAACCTGCGTGCCCCGAGCCTCTGCCAGCAACACTGCCCCTTGCTGCTCTCCATCTGTTTTACTTCCCTTCTATCTTAGTCTCAAAGTTGTTCGATTTTCCATCTCCCATTAAATATTTGGGCTTCCAATATGACCCACCTACAGTCATTACCTCACTGAAAAGGCATGCCTTGTTCTTGAGGTGATGCAAGTCTTTCCAACACCTCTAAATTGGGCATATAAATATTGTTAGCACAGAGACCTGCATGACTAAGGTGATGAAATTTCTGCTTTCTCAATACGTAGAGCATGAAACTCAGTTGGAATAGAGGTGGCAATTAACCAAGAAAACTCAAAGGAAGGGCGTTGTTTGGCTTCATAAGGCCAATGTCTCCGTAAGGCACCAGGTGGGAGGAAAACAGAAGCTGGCACCCTCCATACCAGGCAGTGAAACCCTCTCTTCCCTATGAAATATTTTATTTTCCCCAGTCCAGAAGAGACTTCAGGAGTCTTTATTGGTAAATCAACTTTTATTGCTGACGATTTGAGGTAATAGCAGAAAAGGGGGCCTCTAGTCACAAAGCGATGCCATTCTGCAGCCCGTTCGTTGCGCTGCAGAGGCAGCCCACATTCGGATTTATTTCAGCCAGCAGCATCCATTAACAGGTACAGAAATAGCAGCTCAGCTAGGCACTTCCCCCCCCCCCTCCCTTGTAGTCTCATCCAAGCAAAAACTAAAATATCTCATGTCTCTTGCAAGCTGCTGAGATTTTGAGATGGCAAGGCTGCATTTCTTAAAGGAGTGATTGCAAAATTTCTGACAGTCGAGATTTTCCATTAGATGGGCCTGCACAGTTCCATCTGGTCCCATATGTCCCTCTGATATTAATGTTATCTCCATCCCTCACCAGTGCCAGGTGAGATAGATCGAAAAGAACCCATAGATGTAGAAAGGACACAGATGATTAGGGACTAAGGCAAAGAAGAACATGATACCACAGTTTACAAGCATTTAGAAGCTATGAACTTCAAGAAGATTTTGGAAAGAGTAACAGGGGATTTAACTGAGGGTGGAGGATGGGGTGGAAAGACCTATTTCCCTTGACACAATTGCTGAGTGGAAAAGGAAGAAGAGTGTTTTGCTCATCTTGGTTGAAATTGTCATGTGAGAAGGGCAAAAAACTTCTTTATTTTGGTGAAAACATGCAGTTTTCGTGAAACAAAAGCTGAAGTTTAAAAGTAACTGTGAAATTCAAATGTTTTTACTAAACGTGGATTTTCAAGTTGGCCAAAAGTTTTGAGAATCATTTCCTATATTATTATGATTAATATATAGGAAAAGCGATGGGAGAAGTGGTTAAAAAGAAGTGCAAAACCCCAAGTTTCTGTTGGTCCCTCAGCACAGAAGTGCTTCAACACTACAATTCTTCAGTTAGCCCGTCTTGTATTTAAATAAATAGCAGAACACCCTCCTTGCCCAGAAATTAAATCTTTATAGGATGATTAAATCCCTAATCCCATCTTCACCAGTGCTGCGGTTTCTCCCCGTTGCACAGAAACACAGGCACTTTGCAGCCTGTCTCGAGCGCTGGTGGAGCAGGACTCCCCTCAAATCCAGATGGGATGCAAACATCAGAGCTTTTTTTCCTGGTGCCACTTACATCCAAGCACTCTTGAAATGCAGCACTGCACTTATAAACTGCTCATTTGGGAATTACACACCCTCCAGCTCCAAAAGTGTATGTATTTTGCCTATTTTAGCTATAGTTCCACACCCCCAAGAGCTGCAGGGGATCTCCACCCCTTCTCCTCCATCCCCAAGC